GTCATCATTTGACCTACAGCAGCTGCTGGCACCGGCCACAGATCATCCCAGTTAGGAGCAAATAGTGAGCACCGAATCCCTCCACGGGTAGGTTAGGAGAAGAGCATTCTAACGATTGGGCTAAGGAGCCGACTCAGCTATGATGATGATGACGTCACGATATGATGCTATGAAAAGTAGTTCGGAAGTTGTGTCATCTAAAGTCAACATAGGTGACGTGACGATGAAAACGATAAAACGTGGGGAAAAGTGTGGCCTTCGTGACCCCAGTTGACACATCACAGGTGTTATTAACGATTGTGTGATGCGGTCTGTCTGTTACCATCCGAACGTAGTTTGTTCCTTTGTCATACCATACTTGGTTCTTGGGAGAATAGGGCGGAGCCTTTGCACACTGGACTTGGCCCGTGTGATCTGATGTGGCATGTCAGAGGTCACATCCGCTGTTTCTTTTGGCTGTCATTGGTATGCCGCAAAACGACGTACGCCATTTATTACTGCTTTCTTCACTTTCTCAGCAAGCATGGTTCTCAATATAAAAACATGCTTAGATTCCCTATTTACTCTGTTGCGCCGGTTTCATCAATCCAAGGGCACTTTTACTGGTGGTCAATGGCACTAGCCTTGTTTGGTATTACGAGAAGAGCTATCCAATGGGATTCTTTACTCGGCCTCAGCGTGATTCATTGCCTTCTATAAAGCAGGGAAGAATCTGTGACCCCTTACTCGGCGAATGTGAGTTAAAGCGCATCCGTCGACAGATCAGGCTAACAATGCTAGACGCGAAGCCAGGTGGCTGCCGTTCGGAACGCTACCAACAAAGCTCAGTTTCCCATGCCGTCATCACATGTCCTGCGCGCAGACCGTGCGTTCTGTGGTGACCCGGTACCGGGGGCCTCCTCTCCATCGGTGCACGCGGCGATCTGGGTGGGCTAGGCGTGTCCGTGACATTTCCCGCCACACGGCTGGGGATCGATGCAGGGGGAGGGGTGCGTGCCGCCGTCCGCCTCGCCCCGAGCCCGAGGGGGGGGGGGGGGGGGGGCAGGAAGGCAATAAGGAGCCGACAGGCGCACCTGTCGTGCCAGATCGCCCGGTGATAGACAAGGCCGGCGGTCGCCGGTCAGGCAAGTGGCGGCCGCCGGGCGACGAGCCGCCACGCGCCACCCGCAGCTGCGGTGCGCTTCAGCGGCCGCAGAGCGGCTAGACTCGAGCGCGACTTGCGAGAAGAGCACGGTCAGCGGGTCTGTTTTCTCTTTTAATTCGCGAGGATTCGCAAAGCATCGAGCGTGGAAGGTGGCATGCCACTCAACATCCTGAAGCTCAGCATCAGCAGCAGCTGTCGAACCGACTTCCCCCTCGTGCTATCGTCACTGGCAACATCTCAGAAACCGTGCTCACTAGCTGGTGAAGTGCCGTCGTGATACGACTTCGTGAAAGGAGCCGCCCGCCCGCAGCATCGGACTTTAGGCCAATCACGCTGGTTCCAGCCATGTGCAAGACGGCGGAAAAGCTCGTTCATCAGCAGCTCATGTCTTACCTGGAGCAACAAAGCCTTTTTAGCGCTGGTCATCGCGGATTCATGGAACATCACTCGCGCCGTACCGTCCTTTTAACTGTCACGTACGGATCTTGCACGGCATAGACTGATCCGAAGTGACGCTTCTTACACTTGACCTAAGCCATTGTTTTGATGTAGTGGATCACTCAACCCTTTTTACTGGGCTCCGGCCGCTACAAACATCAGTCGACTGGTTTGAGAACTGTTTGACAGCACTGCAGCGAGCAAGCGTGTGAGAAACGTCTTTCAGTCCATCAAACATCCCTTTTGGAACTTCCACGGTTCCCGCCTCGGCCTTGTTGTATGGCATAACCAGCGGTGATCTCACTTGTCATATAACCTCTGAAATCACCGGCTTCCGTTAATGGTCCGCGGGGTGAAATTGTACGACCGCCCAGCGAGCAGTACCCCGCAGCCGCATGGACGACCTGACTACTTGGACCGTCCTGCAGTCTGCTGACGCAACAGCGATCCGCCGTCTCGGAAGTTTGATTTATGTTCTGCCTTGAACCAAAACTACCGGGCAAACAACATAATAGCTGTCGCACTCGTTGCTGCGAGCGCAGGAACGACTCAAACAAAAACTGTGGACCAATTTCCGAGTTTGCGAAATTTTAGCAACTTCCATATGTGTCTAGTATTGGAAACATACATGTGGGTTCTTATCATTATTTTATATGATTTCGGTTCATTAAGAACCGGAGCCAGAATTACTCCCCCCAATTTGTTTGGATTAACTGTTGATCAAAGTTAACATTATAAAAAGGAAGATCATCCTTCAGCCTCAGATTAGATCAGCATCAGATCATCCTTCAGCCTCAGATCAGATCAGCCTCAGATCATCAGATCAGCCTCAGATCATCCCTCAACCTCAAATCATATCGGCCTCAGATCATCCTTCAGCCTCAGATCAGATCATCCTCAGATCATCCTTCAGCTTCCCCATTATTTTGATTGAGTCCGTTCCATTTGTACGGAGCTGAACCAAGCATAAATGAAGCTATTGTCAATTTTTCCTGAGATGGGAGGGGGGACAGCTTTCCCTTATGCCGTATTTTCCACTGTCTCTGGACATAACCACAGCCTTGACGCAAAACAAATGAGCTTTAACCGAGATACCTGGTTGTTGTGGCCTGTGCGATCGATACAGCATTGGGAAGCAACGGGTGTGACAGCCGCTATTTTGCCTGCCGGGTATTTTTAGATGAGGGCAGAACATAAATTGAGCCTCAGAGACGGAGAGTCCCTGCCGCGTCAGCAGACCACACACACAAGGCAGCCCAATTAGCGCTCAGGTCGTCCATACGGCGGCGGGGTACAGCTCGCCGGACGGCTGCCTGTCCTGTGATAGCCGGGTCGATGCCTCGTTCAGCCCAGTCAGCGGCATGCAGCCCGCCCATCGGCCGCGTTCTGCCCGCCGTCGTCCTACCACGTCACCAGCTGATGGCCCGTCTGTCGCCACATTTGCGCGGAGTGCCCCGACACCGGCGCGGGGGAGCGCCTCGCTCCTGGCATCACGTCACCAGCAGCTTCGCACCCCGCGACCTTACTCGCGACCGATCGACTCTCGTCTCTAGCGCCGCCCCGTGACCTCACCCCGTGACCGACTGTGTACTCCCGCAGCTTGGCTTTACTGGGACACGGTCCTTATCCGGGCGTGTAAGCGGCTCTCGACCCTAAGCCGTCGGTGCGCCGGTCCCAAATCACACCCGGCCCTGTTGACATATCGTTACGGGTCGCGACGGTCGAACCCGCCGCCGGCGGACGCGGCTCAGCCGCCGCTAAATTAGCCTAATTTCCGCTGTGTCAACCGGCCGTCAGCGGCGACGGACGCTTCGTCGGAAGCGACGCGCCGCCCGGCACGACCGTCGACGGTCCGGACGCAGGGGCGACAGGTGGGCCGGACCGGGGAGGGGGGCGGGGAAGCAGCAATTGTCGGTCCGTGCTGAGCTTGGTGTTGTCTTACGGGCTATTGAGGTCAGCGTGGCTGGTTGTCTGCAAGTTGATGCTGCATTCTGTTTTGTGCAGTGTTGTATTCTATGTCGTACCCATACGTTGATCTTTTCTAAGAAGCCATATAACCGGGGTCCACGTTTGTTGAATGTGGGTCGCGTGAACGCAGTATCCCTTCATACACGCCCTGGTAACTATCTCGCCAAATCGCATGAAAATTGCAGGATGTGCAGATCGTGATTGCAGATCAAATTAACCAGGTTGACACATTTGCTGCTATTTTTGCCTTGTATGCGTGGGGTCTCACAATTAATCACAACTGGGTTTGTCAAACACTGTGAGAATCATGCATCTTGTGCCAACTCTGGTTACCTACGCATCTGTGTGGCATAGAAGCTCAGTTAAAGTCACTTTTTAAACAATAAACTACCGCGCCGGAACAGCGCGGTAGTTTATTGTTTGCCAACTGCCAGCGCACATTTCATGTGACACCAACAAAGTCACCACAAACGGACATCATACGTTATTTTGGTCCCACGCTTATAGGTTGACTTAACACGGGCCCGGGCGGTCGGTGGATACCCTTCGTTCGGGTGAGGGGCCAATGTGTCCCACTGAGATCTCAGAAGCTAAGCTCGCTAGAGACGCGAAATTCACAGAGCGTTTTAACCTGTACGTGAGCCCGCTTAGGTCAAAATTTTGCGTGCCTAGGTCATGTTCTTCGGTTCAAATAAGGTCATATAAGGCCAAATTCCGGGCTGGTCTCCGTAGGGCTCCTTGAACCTAGAAAACTGTTCTAAGCAAAAGATTGCGTGCTCCTTTAAGGTCAGTGACCTTGCTTGACCTTTTGAAAGTCATGGGGATGAAACTCATACAAGACTGCTTGGAGTTTTGCATTTAAACAAGCAACAACGATTACGCTAGACAGTGTGTTCCTAAATACAAAACGTTAACTGAGTTGTTTTAGGTCCGTGACCTATCCTAACCTTTAAGACGTCCATGTAAGTTGTATAATGCGGTTCCTGTTATCAATAAATTTGAAATGAGCACCAGAAACTACCTCATACAGCAAGCCCTAAGGAAATAAAACAGGTTAGCTTTCACCTTGGACTGAGCTTCATACCTGACCCTGGGCCAATGTTATTTGTTCATTAAGTTGTTGTGTTGCCTAAGAAAGCATCTCAGAGATGCATAGCCTGGTCTAACACTCCGTTGTTGGATCAGATTATTGCCCTTCGCTGAAACCATGGCCTGACTTTGACCTGCCATAGGCCAACGACCTTACAAGTTATATTTAAATTTTTGGTGCCAGACGATTCGCTATTGTCAGCTACAGCCAAATTGGCGCGGCTACGCCACGCCGTTCGAAAACTATTCCGAAGAAAGCCTTGAGGGGGTCAATTTGTTCCCCACCCGAGCGCATGCTAATATAAGTTGAGTCATGGCTTAGCGATGCTGCGACAAATGGCTCTCGCGCCGGCCGTTTCAGGAGGGCTTCTCGGTCCTGCATCTGGCCGTGCTGCACGCTCGCGAGGACATGGTGAAGACGCTGCTGAATAGGAGGGCGGACGTCAACGCCCTGACCGGGGTGAGAGGCTGAGAGAAGCTTTGAGGGGCTGTTTCTTCATGGTGGGGTCTGGCAGGGCCCCGAGGTCTTCCTGATGTTGATGGGCGGCTATCGGGGCTTCAAGGGCTCTCCGACATGGATGCGTGACTTGACTCCAACGGACCCTGATGATCAGGTCAGGGCTGTAAAGATTCCGCAATCACTGAAATTGATGTTTTGGTCCTCGATTAAGTGCGCTACTACTTTATAAATGGAGCGGTCTAAGTGATACCACACATTCGACCTTGGGATTCACGATATCTTGAGAAAGTTTAAAGCTTCTAACTTCAGCACGAGCTATTTCGACGGACCAGTCCCAAGCCCCGCGTCCCCTCCCCCCCCCCCCCAGCCGCCGCAGAGTGTACCTCAACCTCGTTGACAACGCGTCCCCGTGACCCACCAGCCGAAGAAGATGACCTGCGTCCACCTGGTGTGCACGCGCACAGCAGGCCTGGCCGTCAACATCCTGCGGCTCCTGCTGCAGACGACCAACAAGGACGTGCGCCTCATCAAGGACGTGGTATGGCCGGCCGGCTGGCTTGCTCTCCCCCTGCACGCACGCCGTGTCGCTTCGCTGACCTGGGCAGAGGCGCCGCTGCGCGCGCCGCCCGGTCGCTGATGTGGTGTGGGGCGGACGCAGCGGCTCGCTGGACGGGTCGGATGGGTCAAGAGGTCGGGAGATGGACAAAATGTGCTTCTAGGCGATTGAGTAGTGGCACCGCTGTGTCAACCCGCATCGATCGAGGGCGGCGATGACACAATGTTCACATTTTTGTCTGTTGCAGCTTGTTATGATCATCTTTAAGGCACGCACATGAGCGGAAACCCCTGCGATGCGGGAAATAATCATCGATTTTGTTTCTTTCAGAAATTACCGTCTCCTGTTGGGTTTGACTGACTTTCCCCTGCATGTGTGAATGCTCGATTTGTTGGCTTTGTTTTTGCACTTAGGGTGGACATGTGACTGCCGACCTCGACGGGTAATGCGACCTCCCCGATGTATACCGTAAATGTTCAAAAGCAAGTCGCACTTCAAAAACCCACGAACAACGCGTGGTGAAAACGCTCACGTGCTGCTCTGAAATATTTCGTCGCCCTCCATATATGTTTAGACGCCTATCTGCTTTGGTTTATATTGTCTGCTTTTTGGTTCATGTGCACGATTTGTGATGCTTTGTGGATGCTATAGTCTTCGGACTGTGGGCTACCACGTCGATGTTATGAAGGAAGCTTTAACCCAGGTTTTGTTGGCAGAGCTTTGCAACTGAAACTTTTACTTTGACGGCACCGATTATAGACAAGGTGATTTTTTTCTCTTCTTGTGCGTTTTGTTTTGTTTTGCCTGTTGTATTCTATTTATTGTTGGCATCGTCCTTTATTTATATAACACTGGTGCTGGGACGACACCAGTTTTTGCTTTCATGAAACGTTTTTATTTCAGTGTATACAGTGGTCGCACAATATTCGAGAATATGAGCACTAAATGTGGCGCTTTTGCTGAAAAATGGCTGCTTATGATCTGTGAGACGATTGATGCATTTCTGTGGCATTCCCTGTCACCGCCGCCGCCACGCCGCTTCGCCCCAATGTCTCGTCTGTCTGGCCGCAGTTCTTTCACCCAGGCAGCTCCACGCTAAGCCACCGGATTCTGCTAAAGGCCCTGCTTGCCCGCGATTCGGTGAGTCCCACAAGGCACTGCTTGCCCGCGATTCGGTGAGTTCCACAAGGCACTGCTTGCCCGTCGTCTGCCGCGGACGCTGCCCGACACAGTGCGCTACCTTGTGATGCACGATCAGCTTCCGTGCGGCTGGACCTGTCTGCTCCCATTTGAGCGTGTGACGACGCGTGATAGCTGTTTTGCGTGGAGAAGCAATAGTTGTGGGGTTCCGCCTCATCCATTCGCAGCGATTCATGCGAATAACTCGATTGGGTGGCTCTCGCAGACGTGAGAAACAGGTAAGAACTAGTGGTTTCGACGTTTTTTCATGTTAGCCTCCAAGCTGAAAAAGTCAAAATCCGAAGTGCTTTTGTTTGAAAAGCACATTACTGTAGGAAGTTGACTTTCCAGGTCACTCAGCCCGGCCATGACCTCCAGTTTTGACCTCTAAAGGAAACTAAGGCCGGAGGCCTACACCTGGTCCCCGGAAGGCTCGTGAGACGCGTCAGGGTCTCAGGCGTGGCGGGCGGAACAGGCTGACTGTCAGGGATCCCAACGCGCCCTTATTGATCCAGCCGGGCTATTCTCGGGCGGAAATTCCGGAGCCTCCGGCAGTCGCATGCATCTACTACGGCGCGTACGCACTCGGCGCTCGAACCCCTTTGCAAGCTGGGTGATTGACCCGGAGCCACTGTCTCCGGGTCACCGCTCTTTGTTTCGGCTGAGTGGGTCCCCGACCCGAATGGGATCCTCAAAGCCAACAAAGCCAACACCTCCCGGATTTCCCAGTGTTGTTGTTATCGCTTTTCTACGGTCTTCAAGTCCTCAGCTAACTGCGCACCGATGAAGCCATGCGCCCGGCGGCGGTGCGAGCTGCCTCACCCCACGGCGGCGGCGCGCCCGCACGCAGACAGACACCCAGCCGGCCCGTGTCGCCGTGCAGCGGCGCAGGTCGGCTTGGGCTGGCCCCGGGCGATACGGCGCTCGCGTGACCGTGGCCACTTTCTCGGAGCCGTGCTCGGCGCCGATCGATTCGCCGTCCGACTTCGCTAAAATCCCGTCATCCCGCGTCGTTGGTTGGCGCGGGGGCGAGGACCCTCATCGAAGTAGCCGTGGGCGCGCCACGTGCCGCCGCCGCCGCGGTCTCGTGGCGGAGCGTCGTGCCGTGTAGAAGACGAGTCGAGCTCGGGCGAGGCTGGCGCGGCGCAGCGCTGCATTGATTTCGGCCCGGCCGCTGGGGTGGTGCGACTCTAGGAGTCTGTTCTCTGCCCTCAGCTTTCAGGAGGATGTGCTGGCCGTGGCGTGGCCAAATTGCTTAATGATTTTGCTCCAGTAAACCGGAAGTGTCGGCTTGGCTGTTCGCCTACAATAAGTCTGAATTTACCATCCCCCTTTGAGTAGTTGGACACGCGTTGTCGGGAATAAGAAGATAGATCGGATATTAGGCGATGCGCTCTGTCTGTACATTATAAATTCTCGTATTTTGGCTGTTAGTACCGACCTTGTGAACAAAATTTGCAAATTTCACAAACTCCCGGGTAGTTGCACGCCCACATTGGTTTCCGCCGCGTAAATGGGCGTGAAAAGTAATAACATCAATGCCTGAGGTAGCTTAGTGCGTCCAGCATTAGTGCACATGCTTTAGTTCGACAAACTTAAGATTGCTGTTCAGTTGAGCCGCCTTCCAAGATGGTGGCGGCGCCCGCTCGTCACCGAGCCGCTGTTCTCCCGCAGGACGGCAACATTCCGCTGTTCCTGGCCATCGAGGCCGGCTCACAGCACCTGTGTCGGGAGCTGCTCAACTACCAGCCGGAGCTGCAGGTCAGTCAGCTGGGCCGGCACGGGGCGGGGTCCGCTCAGTCGCGCGTCATCAGCCTGCATGGACTGAACACTGGCAGCCCTTAGCCTGTGCCGACCGTGGGGTGGTGGTAAACTGGGCGGAGGGACGAACCAGTTGAAAATGCCAAGCCAACGGCCATAAAAACTACGGGGGGGGAGGGGTAGCGATGTTGCGTGTGATATTTGCTCGCATTGGGTAGAGTGGGGGAGTGGGGTTGTGCCTCAGCAAGGAAAGGTGCGTCACCGTAGTGTCTGCGCTTCCTAGAGCTGTAAAAATCAATTGAGTGACGTTTTCTGATGCGACAGGTCCCCTCAGATTGTGCAACTGCACGGTAAAGATCGTTTTGCAACAAGGATCCGCGTAATCTGACGACAGGACACTTCGCATGTCCATTTGCGGTGGTCCCAGGCTGCCGTATATAACCTCCGCGTCACTTTTGCCGTACCGACCTTGTGAACAAAATTTGCAAATTTCACAAACTCCCGGGTAGTTGCACGCCCACATTGGTTTCCGCCGCAATGCGGATCTTTATCTTTGATCTTTGCAATCTTTAGGCCAAGCGTTGTGCAAATACTTTACTGATGCCTGAAAATTTCACAGAGAGAATGGACTGATGCAGGAGTCTCTATACAATCCCATGCCTCCAACCACCAGGGCACGTGGCACCCAATGGAACAGGGCAGCGTTGGTCTTGCCAAGGCCGACACGGTGGCCCACAGAGTATCAATTGATGACTGCCTAGCCGTTGATTACAGGTTCTAGTACCGCAGGCAGGACCATAAATACGAGATGATGAATGTTCAAATAAAACACTCTCTTGACACTCGCCTGCAAACAAGGGAGAAGTGATTGCGATTGTATCGACACTTGGGGGCCCATTTTCTGAGATAATGAGGCCTCAGCACAAGTGCACCTTGTATGGACTCGGCCAGACGTATCGGAATCGAGAGTAAGGCGCTCCATTAGTTATTTATTACGAGCAATAACACCTGCGCACAAAAGTTGAATGCAGCTCGCTGTGTTAATTATCAAGACTTGGCCGATAAACCGAAGCTCCAAGTCGTTTTTTGCTTTGATGAAGCTTGCAAGCCACATCCAGATTTGAGGCACATCTTGCACAGGCCATGACAGCCTTCTTTGTCAAAAAGCATCCGTAAAAGTGTGTAGTCTCAGCTCTTATGTCTCAACCATGTCTGGCATAAAGGCTTCTAATCGTGCAAAAAGTCAAGCAGTCGCAGGCATTGTGTTATAGAGATAGACAAGGCAGATACAGCTAAACAGAAAAAGAGAAAGTTAAACTGCCCGCGAATATATTCACAGAGCAGGAAAAGAGCCAATAACCATCAGCATTCCGCCGCTCAGCTGCCATTTAAAGCCGACCCCTGCCGCTCCCGTGGACCCGCCAGCCCCATGTCCCCCCGCCCCTGATCAGCTCCTGACCTGACCCCGCTGACCGTTCGACAGGTCAAGGTGCGCAAGAGCACCAAGGACACGGTGCTGCACCTGGCCGTGCGTCGTCGGGACATCGACCTAGCGCGTCTGTTCGTCGACTACGGGGTGCAGGTGGACGCCCAGAACGTGAGTCCGTGCGACATAGGCCCGTTCGTCGCCTACGGGGTGCAGGTGGACGCGCGGAACGTGAGTCCGTGCGACATAGGCCTGTTCGCCGTCTACGGCGTGCAGGTGGACGCCCGGAGCGTGAGTCCGCGCGGTGTGGGTGCGGCGAAAGGCGGCCGTGACGAAGGCGAGAGGCGAGAACTCGGCCGACGCGGTTTTACTGGGAGTAATAACCGACAGCCCCTCCTGTGTCACGCGCGAAATATTTATTGCGCTGTACCTGTATGCGAGAAATTTCGCTGTCAGAAGTATCGACATTGCCTGTAACACCTAACCCAAGCAGATTAAAATGAAGCAGCATCCGACATACAGGCCCCGTTTATTCTCTCATGATCTAGCTGCTCGTCTTACTCGACCGAAACTGAGCTGACCTCCACACATCACCAGCGAAACAGAAACATTTGACCAGGACGTTATATATATATATATATATATATATATATATATATATATATATATATGCGTACGTGTGTGTGTGTGTGTGTGTGTGTGTGTGTGTGTGTGTGTGTGTGTGTGTGTGTGTGTGTGTGTGTGTGTGTGTGTGTGTGTGTGTGTGTGTGTGTGTGTGTGTGTGTGTGTGTGTGTGTGTGTGTGCGTGTGTATTGCCATAATCTAATTTGATATTTCATACGCAACAGACCTGTGACACTGAATTTGACCGCCACGCGACAGCGGCAGCTGAGTGAGGCCACCATCGAGTGCCGCGCAGAGTCTCTCCCGACCCCCGCAGACCCCACAGCCTCCCGGGTGTCAGTGGGCGTGGCGTCTCGCGCCGCCGTGTTACCGCCGGAGCGCCGCAGTCACGCGCCGCGTGTTGACGAGCGCCCCGCCGGCAAACATCTCCGCCGCCGCACGCTGCCGCAGAACGGCCGGCAGTTCCCGGCCGCCATTCTGCGCGGAGAGCGCCGTTTCATCACGTTTTCTAATAGTTATTGGAAAATGCGACCATTCGGCCGAGCAGAACGACGCTCAGCAGGTCGTTGGAACAATGGCGGGCGCGCGGCGGGCGCCGCGGGCTGCAGCAATCATGACGCGTTACAGCGCCGAGATACAGACCGGAGCAAGGCCGACAAATTGGGGGCGTTGTATGGGCGGCCCCGGGTTGTTCGGAGCGGCGTGCGGCTCATGCGTCAGGCGGGTGAAGTGTCGAGGAGGGGCTGGGGGGGGGGGGGGGGCGAGGGGAGGGGGGGGGGCTATTGAGGACGTGGCTCATTTATTGATGTGAGATGACCACTGATGGCAGCCCCGCTAAGAGACCGGACGAAGCTTAGATAAGGATGACTATCGCATTGCGGATTGAAATACGGCCCCCTTCGATGATAGTATTTATATGCGATGGCGTCTGAAAGGGCTGTTTTTAAGTCGGGAAATCGACAGCATGATCCGCACTGTTTGAGCGGCGGTTTACAAGCTTTGCTCTTGTCAGGCGTTCCCGACGATGGCATGTCAGAATCCCCAGAGCTGTAAATCAAACGCCGCCAGGCTCAGCTGGCGGCTCAACAAACACGCCCTACACTGAGTGAAGGGTGTCAGCTGCCCGGCTATTTAACGGGTCATCACGGGTGATCTGCTTAACGTCAAATCAATAGCAACCCGCGTGACGTTGTGCTACTGACGCCTTGTGACGTGACGTCAGGGATGAGCCGTGTGACGTGACGTCATCGATTCGCAGAAAGACGGCCAGACAGCGCTGCACATTGCCGGGGCCGAGGGCGATGACGTCATGGTGAAGTTCTTCTACAGCATCCATGCCAACCCGAACATCGCCGACAACCAGGGTGAGTCGAAACTGCTCGTGAAATTTTATATTCACCGGGCCTTTCACTGGCGACGAAAACGCCCTGAACTTGCAGCCGCCGACACACAGCCTGTACATTTACTACACAAGAACATTTACTACGCGCTCTATTTCACCATAGTTCGGGCAGGATATATATTGACTGCAGTAAATACTTGTGATGCCCGAAGTCCATATAGATGACACTCACGAGACAAGCGCGCAGTGGCGACGCAGTGTGGTTTAAAAACTTGGTGACGGCAATGCACACCCGCAGCAGCCTAGGTCACATGTCTCCCTGTTGGACGAGGCTTAGCTGGTACGGAACGGACACCAGCTTTCAATGTACTCTTTACAAGTCACAGCTTCATAAAGCAAATCTGTGAACCTAACACCTTTTTAAATCGCAGACACCTTTCAGGAGTCGACCTGAGCACTGATGATTACGAATCGAATACTGGACTAGAATTAGCTTTGCACCAGCCTACATGCTGACACGACGCAATTTAGAAGCGCGTGGGTTCGTGGTCTCCCTTTATTAGACTAGGCCCGTGCCGGTTGCTCTGGCACCTGTGAGAGCTATGCTACTGAAGCCCAGGCATTGTCCCAGTACCAGCGGCACTGACCCTCCCGCTGGCTCAGTGGTATCAAAACCTGGCATCTCCGCGTGTAGCTCAGACAGCCCTTCTGACGAAGAACATGCTGTAGGATTTAGGACAGACTGTAGGACAGACTGTAGGACGGCCATGACACAGAGGCGAATGAGAGCCCCGGTATGGGGCCGAGGCCACGCCCGCCTGTCGGCCGATCCCCATAGCTGGTCGGTTGGCCTCTGTTATTACTGTTCGCGTGTCTTTGGGCGAGCGCCAACGATGTCCTGGCTTTTTGCGATCGGTTTGTTGTTTGATATCCATTTATTATGAGGTCGCCAGCGACGACTGACTGTCCGACACCTGCTAATGCTTCAGCTTGTTCGACGTCCGCTACAAAAAAGGCGACGAGCTCACTGCTCATTTCTCTAAAAGCACCATTAACGTCGTTGAAATAGCCGACGAGGGCAGGGATTTGTGATCGCGACCGTGATGGGTCTTTGCTCTGCGTAAAATATAGATAAGACGTGTCTAGATTACCTGATGTACAGACACGCACATGTTCTGCCTTTTACGTTTAAGGCTTGGCACGAAGGTTACCTCGGTTACAATAGGAACAATTAAAAGTGTTACGTGCAAGTGCGGAAAGACATATCAAAAACAGTATCAGTGTCTATTCTGGGTGCAGATTGGCCCACGTTGAATTATACCCCGAGATAATTGCGATGATTGACCTGCCTCTTAAGTTTAAATGGCGTTAAATGATGTTTAGTAGAGTTCCCCAACTGCAGTCTGGTAACGAAATGACATCGATAAACGCGGTTTCCACTTAAAGAGCTTGACAGGCCAGTAAAGAACGATATGCTTCCAACCATTGGTATCATACCAACGTAGTTAGATAAGTCCACAGCAAACGGTCCTATCCCTCTTTTTCCGCTATCATCAGATCTGCATCGACTGAGGGTGTTCCTCGCCCAAACCGTTCTTGCTCCTGATGACAACAGGATGTGCGCTGGTAACTCAGTCCGCTGGGATGTCGCTCATTGGCCAGTTCGTATCGGAATGCAGCACATCGTAGCACCACGGAGCTAGCCTAATCGTCGGTCGTACTTCGAGGTTAATCTGAGATGAATGATCCCAGTAGGGCGTCACCAAGCCGGCATCTAATGACCCTTGCTTCAACTCTAAGTCCAGAGGCTGATGTGCATACGGCACACTCTTTGACTAGCGAAGCGATTATCTATGAAATGCTGAAGATATGTGTGTTTCGATGCAGTAATCTGTGGACGGGTGCGGCGTAAGAGCTTCCTTCATCGACACTTAACACGCACCGTGATGGCCAGTGGGATGCCGATCGCTCAGTTGGGGTTCAATTAGACCCCCAAGATTTTAAAAAACTTAGCTAGATAGCAGCACCAAGCTTACAGAGTGGGATGGCCAGTGTATCAACCAGCGGCGTCAATTTGAATACTTTTATGAGGGCATTGGCCCCCCAGTGCTGAAGTGAGCTTCCCCAATGTTGGGTTGGCCCCCTTCCCATAATTTTGCTGGCATATCACAAAAATACACCACAAATTTCTTGTCAACGCACCAACTAAATGAAAATACATCAACTAAAAAACTAAATATCTTGGCACCAACTTTACATGATCTGGGCACATCTCCATTGGGATTATACAATGAACATAACCAACATTTTGCTCACGCAAAATGCGCTTGCACCATAACCATCTCCAAAACAACTCTGGTTTAAATATTAGTCACCATATTCTCATTGAGATCAGAGTAAACACACACACACACACGCACACACACACACACACACACACACACACACACACACACACACACACACACGCACACACACACACACACACACACACACACACACACACACACACACACACACACACACACACACACACACACTAAAACACAAACTTTCTTTCATCCCAGTGCAAATCCAATGCAATGTTTTCCATCCCATATAGTGTCAGCACATTGACCAAGTATGATTATGTCTATCCTGCCAAAGTCTTCGATGCCAATTATAAATTATTAAAAAGTTAGGGAAGCAATCAGCCCTGCCTGGCTCTTCCGGCTGCCGCCTAAGTATTCTGCAAACTCCAGTCAGGCCCAAACATTTCAACATTATGCCACATGTAGCCTATCTTTTGACACATAACTACATAATTCATGACTCCAGGCTGTTGCAAGCTTTAATAATAATCACATTATTCCGTGCTCTCCCGTCCATTACTTGTCATATTATTCGCCACTTACCAGCCACCCATGCTTCTTAATCCGATGAGAGGAAAGGCGGGCAGTCCATAGACAGCGTGGTATTGTTTAAGCATCCGAATTTACCACTCAAGAGAGGAATGCTCAGCGCGAATCAGATAAAGGACCATCTGCAACGTTTTTTGCCTGCAAAACCTGCGACCCTGCAAAATTACTTTGCTTTCAAAAACATCAAACGCCCGTAACCAGGGCAGAGGTGCTGATTTCTTGAAAAGTTTGGGGGGGAGGGGATAGTCAACCCAATGGCCGATTTAGCCGCTAATCGCAGGAAAAAACTGGCTTCATTGGTTAGCCTCCTCTCACCCTCAAAAACCTAATCGAAATCCGGCCACTTAGCTTTCGTTTTAATTCTTTCCGTTTTATACAATAAATTGCGGTTCTTATGAACTAAAAGCAGAAATGCTAACAAGTGGGATGCACTTCACATTTTGACAACAAAATCTGCCATTTTTTCGAAAAAACACGTTTTCGCCTCCTGGTCACGTTGTGGGAGGTCAGTACCACCATCAGTACCAGCCCCTTTAGTCCCCCAAAGCAGCCAATGAACAGAGCAGGATCATAGAGCCCCACATCACAATCACAAAATTCTTCTGATATTTTCAGTCTCAAGCAACACATTTCAATCACCCAAAAAAGAAAATAGAGCTTCTCCTCTTGCCTTGAAGGAGGGATGGCTATCGCGCTTTCGCAAACTTAAGAAACAACCCTGCTTAAGCTGTCGTGAGCGTTGGTACAACACTGTACTGAAGCAGTGACGTCGGCGGCTCAGCAGTTACACACAGCAGCGGCCGTGGCAGCACAACGCTGGACAGTTGTAACGGTGGCGGCATACCATTGGACGACAGCAGCGGCCGCTGGGCGCTGGACGGCGACGGTAGGTGCTGACACTTTATGATCTACCAGCTGCCGAAAGTGTTGCACCGTTGACTTGGCCCCGAGGCGAACTGCTTCAACTCGGCCTGCAGAGCCGGAGCGTCCACCACGTCTGGGTATGTGGCCAGCACTGCGGCGTGATTTAGCCGCTCTTGGCCTAGGATGGGGAGCAGCCATCCTCTCAGACGACGAAGAAGACTGAACGGCCGCTCTGCCGCGCACAATGTTGCTGGAGCGGTCAGGACCAAACACAGCAGCGCGACAGCGGTTGGCAGCACCTGCCGCAGCCTCTCATCACTCAGTAGGGCCATCACGCCATCGAGGGAGGTCAGTCGTGCCTTTCTCTAGATTGACGCCCCATCCAACAACATCCGGCGGTGGAGGCGGAGCCGCTCCAGGTCGAGGTCGTAGAAGGTGGCGGTTGACAACAGTTGCCGGCTGCCTCACTCTTCCGCCATGAAGAGCGCCCTCTCGGCCTTGGTCAGGATGGGGTCATCAGAGCCGAGCCGACCGCTGATGGAGCCGGCCAGCCAGTCGACGGCTTCGCAGTACGCCTGGCGGTAGCGGTCATCGGGACAGGCATGCTGGTGTGGCTCGGCACCGTTGTCCAGTCGCCGAGGTGGTCGCATCGGGCGTCCGCAGCCTGAGGCAGCCCACTTCTAGACGCTCCGCGACGGACATCAGCTCCGCCCAAAGGCGTTCGAAGCGGTCACGCTGGGACAGGACGACATCCCTGACAGCACGTGCGACCCCTAGATTGGCAGACACCAACTGCGCCTGTCCCTGCATAGTGCACATGGCGGGTGTCGTCAGCTCGAGCAGCAGCAGAGCCACGCACAGGCCAAAAGGAAAAGCTCAAGTCTCTGAGGGTTCCGCCAAAGCCGCTGGCAGTGGCTGACACCTCCTGGACGCACCTTAGCACCTCCGCGAGCTCATCAGGGCTGGTCACCAAGACCCCGTTCTGCTCGACTACGGAGGCCTGGCACGCCTCGCTGCAGGTCCATCGGGTGGGGCACAGCGGGCGCAGAGATGCCTGGGCTCCGATGTGCTCTAGCGCAACCATCCTCTTGGGCGAGTCGAGGTAAAAAGATACCAGTCGACCGACCTCCTGGATGGCGTCCCGGACCTCGTGCACGCCGTTCAGCGCCTCCTGGCAGACCAGGTTCAGGCGGTGGGCCGTACAGTGGACGAACACTGCGCGCTGAAAACTGGATGACGTTTCCAGCCTCCTCGTCCC